CATTCAATATTTTGCCTATAGAATTTTTCAACATTGCAACTCAAGGCTTGAATTTTTTCTTCAGTTCTTTCAGCTTGAGAAATGCTGAGTGTGTTCTTCCCTTTTGTTTTTCTAACTCCAGGTCGTTGCACATTTCATTATAGTAACTGGCTTTGCTTTCTCAAGCTGCTCTTTGAAATCTTCTGCTCAGCCTTTTATCTTGTCATTTCTTCCATTTACTTTAGTGACTCTCCATTTAAGTAAAAGTTTCAGAGTCTTTTCTGACATTCATTTTTCTCTTTTCTTCCTTTCCTGTCTTTATAATGACTTTTTACTCTCTTCATGGATAATGTTCTTGATGTCATCCCACAATTCCTCTAGTTTTTGGTCATTGGTGTTCAATGCATCAAATCTGTTCTTTAGATGGTCTCTAAATTCAGGAGGGATATAATCAAGGTCATATTTTGGGTCTCGTCGACTTCTTTTAATTGTATTAAACTTCAACCTGAACTTGCATATGAATAGTTTATGGTCTGTTCCACAGTTAGTTCCTGACCTTGTTTTAGATGAAGATATTGAGCCTCTCCATCACCTCTTGCCACATATGTAGTCAATCTGATTCCTATGTACTCCATCTGGCAAAGTCCACATGTATAGCCATCACTTGTGTTGTTGAAAAGAGGTATTTGCAATGAATAAGTCATTGGTCTTGCAAAATTGTATCATGTGATCTCCAGTGTTATTTCTATCACCAAGGCCATATTTTCCAACTACTCATGACTCTTCTTTGTTTCCAGCTTTTACATTCCAATCACCAGTGATGATCAACACATCTTGATTGCATGTTTGGTCAATTTCATACTGTAGAAGTTGGTAAAAACCTTCAATGTCCTCATCGTTGGTTTTAGTGGTTTGTGCATAAATTTGAATAATAGTAGTATTAACTGGTCTTCCTTGTAGGCCTATGGATATTATCATATCATGGACAGCATTGTACTTCAGGATAGATCTTGAAACATTCTTTGTGACCCTGAGTGCCACACCATTCCTCTTCAATTTGTCATTCTTGACATAGTAGAACATATGGTTGTCTGATTCAAAATGGCCAAAACTGGTCCATTTCAGCTCACTAATGCCTGGGACATTGATGTTCATGTGTTCCATTTCATTTTTGACAACTTCCAATTTTCTTAAATTTATACTTTGTTCATTCTATGTCCTGATTATTAATGGATGTTTCCAGCTGTTTCTTCTCATTTTGAGTGCCACGTCAGCAAATGGATGTCCCAAAAATATTCCATCCATATCATTAAAGTTGGCTGTACTCTGAGGAGGCAGTTCTTCCCAGCTCATATTTTGAGTGCCTTCTGACCTGAGGGGCTCATCTTCTGGCACTATATTGGACAATGTTTCAGGACTACTCACCAAGTTTTCCAGTAATGTATCAGACAGTGTTTCAATGCTACTCATAAGGTTTTCACTGGCCAGTTCTTTGAGAAGCATATGGTCCCTTTCTTCTTCCAAGCCTGTCTTCATCTAGAAGCTCCGCTGAAATCTGTCCCCACCATTGGTGACCCTGCTGGTATTTGAAATACCAGTGGCATAACCCCCAGCCTCACAACAATGCACAAGCTACCACAGCACGACAAACTGACAGATGAGTGCTGGTGTATTTTACTACTATGGGCTAAAACTCTGGAGATGTCTGAAATCCCAGAGTGTATCCTAACAGAAATTAAGGCTTTTAGTTGCAGAGTTAATGTCTCCTCACATAGCCTTTTCGGGGTTTGAAGAGGAATAAAAGGAAAAGAGAGACTTTTACTGAGTTAGGCTTCAGCTGGTAGCTGATTACTGCCAGATTGTAAGAAGAACCAGTACTTACTCTCTTTTCTCTCTAATTTCAAGGTCAGTAGAGCACATTAATAACCAGAGCTTTCATCAGATATGTTGATTGAAGAAATAAAAATTCTTCAGTCTTATAACTCAATGATAGCACTGATGCTTTCTTTGTAAGTAAAATGCTTGCTTTAGCTTCAACTCCAGTGTGCGTTGTTTACTCCACTTATCACTGTATTTCTGAAGCAGCAATTTAGATGGAATAAAGACCAAATTGCTAAACTGACCCTCATCTTGTAAAGAAAAAGGAGCCAGCTGCAACAGATAAGGGCCGTTGACATCTTTCTGGACTATAAGTAATGAAAGTTACATTTATAACCTTAGAGTGAATCATTTAATATTTTAAATATCTAACCAAAAAATCCAAAGAGAACTTGCAAGATTAAATTACTCATCCTTTAGGCAGAATCTTATTCAAATCATTTTTAATGACTTCTTTCTAATTTTACTTTTATTTCTGGAAAGTTTAAAATGAAAAAAAAAAAGTAATAAATACCCGTGATTTTCCCAAAAATATATACCTGGAAAGAGATCCTAAGGTTAGATTCATGGATGTATACTTACTTATACTTATTTCTATTATACTTCTTCATCAATGAAAACTTATTAATATTTGTTGAAAAATGCCTGAAAACAGTAAACTTCAATTTTCTTAATTTATGTATTCTTTTCTTCTAGAAAGTTCATTAGATTCTCTTCAAGGAGCAAAGCAATGCCAAATCATTTTCATATATACCAGGTCATCTACCATATAAGTATGCATTTCTGTTAAATAAATGTGTATCAACCTATTCTTGTACAATATTCTTCATTGTCCCAAAAGAAACAGGAATTAGTTCTCTAAGATAAGAAGGCATTTTAGAAGGTCCTAGGAAAATAGGCATCAAATAGATATGATGACAAAGAAAATGAGAGGATAATATAATGGCAATTAACATTCTTCTATGATTTGTGGAAAATCTGATTCTCAAAAAAAAACCACAATTTTTCCAATCTTAAAATCTTGTAAACACTTTTCTATATATATTTTCATGGCCTTACTATAATTCACAAGTTTAGGGAAAATGATACAAGATTTCAGTCACTTTAGTTTTATGTTGGGTAACTTATTAAATGTTTACAAATAAGAACACAAGCAAAATGTGAATACCTAAGAGAAAACATGACTCACTACATGTAGATTTTATTTAACGTGCGTCCTGTTTACCAAGTGCCAGGCACTGTTCTAAGCACTTAAAATAATTCAGTCATTTAATTCTCTTGACCAGCGATCGGCAAACTTTCTATAAAGGACCAGGTAGTAAATATTTTAGGATTGGATGTGGGGGAAGGCACAAAAGGCTATGGCACATATTTTTCTTTCTTTCTTTTTTTAAAATTTTTACAGCACTTTAGTAATGTTAAGAAACATTCTTAGTGCAACAGGCTGCCCACAGGCTGGATTTGACCCATGGCTATAGTTTGCTGACCATCTCGTGAGGTATTATACCCATTCCAGAGATATGGAAACTGAGGCAGAAAGAAATTAAGTGACTTGCCTAATTTAAACATCTTGAAAGGAGCCTGTTGCCTAAGACTGTTATTAACCTGCATACCATAGCATCAAAATCACTGCTTAGATCTCACTTGGGTTCCCTGCATCTAATCCACCCAGTGCACATGTAGAATAAGGCTCTAGGGAGTTTGAAAAATAATACAAAGATGAACAGATGCTGCACGTAATCGTTTTGTTTTTTTTTTCTTTTAAATATATGTCTTAGTCTGTGACTTTAAAAGAAATGGGCAGATGAATCCATTACCTTATTAATGTCCCACAGCACCAGTTTACTCTTCTCTTTTGCAAATTTATAGGCAGTTGCCCTGCCTATCCCATGTCCAGCTCCAGTGATGAGAACTATCTCCCCAGCCACAGATTTTCTCTTCTGGGGAATGAAGAGCTTCACCAATGACTCCAAGTAGGAGTAGATGATGATGGCCAGAACCTGGAGGTAATACAAGACAATGTGCATGGCTTCTGCTCTCTACTGTTCTCCTGTGGCTCAGTCCTCCTGCTGTCCTCCCAAGACAGAGTCCTCCAGTGAAGTGCTGTGCCCCAGGTATTAGTGCGACTTGCAGAGGTAAGCCAAATTTGGAAGCAGGCTTTGTCCACGTGTTCTAGTGAGTCAGATACACTTTGAGTTTCTGAAGTTTTGCCAGAGAATCCAAGAGAATTTGCTCTCTGACCTGCTTATCTGAGGAGCAGTTCTACACCATATTTCACCATGAAGTTTCACCTCTAGAAATAATTCCAAAAGTTCTATTGTATCAGCTAATATTCTCTTGGTATTGTTCTGTAAAGTGTTTTTGGTGTGTGTTTGTGCTTGGTTGTTTGTTTGTTTTTTTCCCTAATAAAAGGAAAGAATAAAGTAGAGTGAGTCTGTTAAAGAAACGTAAATAAAGCATGGGGCAACTAAGTTTACCAGTTTGATTTATTTACCCACAGAATTTTCACCTCTGGAGGAATCACTTAACAAAGAACATTTAGCAAAATCTAGAGACATTTTTGGTTTTTGGTTATCACACTAAGGCATACTACTGGCATGTAGTGGTTAGATGCCAGGGAAACTGCTAAACATCTTATAAAGCACAGGACAACCCTGTGCATTGAAAGGAAGAATTATCCTAATAATATAAATAGTGCTGAAGTTGAGAAACCCTGACCAAGACAGATTCTGCCATATTACTTTTGAGATAGTATAATTGAATTTTTAAGTTTGGAAATTTGAATCCTGAGTGTATTTATAAACAGAGTATCGTATCATTCTGCATGCAGGTTTGCAGTAATGTTTATATAAAGCTGTTTAGATACTGATGTATATGATTTAGATCAGATCTCATGCTGGGCTTCAATGTCAGAAACCTGTTTTAATCTTGAATGCCTATAACTCCAATATTCAGCTTGCTGAGAGTGGGCCAGACCAGAAGAATCACACATCCAAATTCATGCACTATTGCTTTATTTCCAAAAGGCAGTTTTTAAATTTACAATGGGAGCTATATTCTTTTGCTTACTGGAATAATAGCTATCCCAAAGATGAGTAACCTTATAAACAAAGTGAAAATCACTTAGTTAACATTACTTAGTTAACATTATAATAAAATAGATAGAAATTTTATTCTATCTATAAGATATCCTGCTTCGAGGCACTCAGTTACTTTATATGGTCTTTTGAACTCCCACCAAATGATTGGTTAGTTGTTGTTAGGTGCTGTTAAGTCATCTTCAACTCATAGCAACCCTATGTACAACACAAAAAATACTGCCCAGTCCTGCACCACCCTTACAATCCTTGTTATGCTTGATCCCATCATTGTAGTTACGGTGTCAGTCCATCTTGTTGAGGGTCTTCTTTTTTGCTCATCATCTACTTTACCAAGCATGATATCCTTCTCCAGGGTCTGTGCTCTCCTGACAACACGACCAACATAGGTGAGATGAAGTCTGGCCATTCTCACTTCTAAAGAGCATTCAGGCTGAACTTCTTCCAGGACAGATTTGTTCATGCAGTGCATGGTATTTTCAGTATGCCTCACCAATACAACAATTCAAATGTGTCAGTTCTGCAGTCTTCTTTATTTATTTTCTAGCTTTCATAGCATAGTGCCTAAGGCACTTGAATGCTAACCAGAAGGCTGGCAGTTCAAACCCAACAACCACTCCTCAGAAGGAAGGTTGGGCAAGCTACTTCTGTAGTGATACTGCCTTAGAAACCCAAGAAGGGGTTGCTATGAGTCAGGTGCGACTCGATGGCACATAACAACAACAACAGCTTTCACCTGCCTATAATGCAATTGAAAATACCATGGCTTGGGTCAGGTGCACCTTAGTCTTCAAAGTGGTATCTTTGCTCCTTAATACTTTAAAGAAGTCTTTTGCAACAGATTTGACCAGTGCACTATGACGTCTGATTTTTTGACTGCTGCTTCCGTGGATGTTGATTGTGAATTCAAGTAAAATGAAGTCCCTGACAGCTTCAATCTTTTCTCCCTTTATTGTGATGTTGCTTATTGGTCCAGTTGTGAGGATTTTTTTTTCTTTATGTTGAGGTGTAATCCATATTGAAGGCTGTAGTCTTTGATCTACCTCAGTAAATACTTCAAGTCCTCCTAACTTTGAGCAAGGAATGTTGTGTTATGTTATCTGCATATTACAGGTTGTTAATGAGTCTTCCTTCAATCCTAATGCTGAGTTCTTTTTATAGTCCTGCTTCTCAGATTATTTGCTTAGCATACAGATTGAATGTTGTTGTTATGTGCCATTGAGTCAGACCTGACTCATAGTGACCCCTCCTTGGGTTTCTGAGGTGGTATTACTACAGAAGTAGATTGCCCAACCTCCCTTCTGAGGAGTGGCTGGTGGGTTTGAATAAGTATGGTGAAAGGACACAACCCTGATGCACACCTTTCCTGATTTAAATACATGCAGTATCCCCTTGTTCTGTTTGAACAACTGCCTGCTGATCTATGTACAGGTTCTTCATTAGCACAATGAAGTGTTCTGGAAGTTCTGTTTTTATAATGTTATCCATAATTTGTTATGATAACGCAGTTGAATTCCTTTGCATAGTCAACAGGTAAATATCTTTCTGTAATTTTTTGCTTTCAGCCAAAATCCATCTGACATCAGCAATGATATTCCTCATTCCACACCTAGTTCTGAATCTGGCTTGAATTTGTGGAAGTTCCCTATTCATATCCTGCTGCAACCATTTTTAAATTATCTTCAATAAAATGTTACTTGCATGTGATATTAATGACATTGTTTGACAATTTCCACATTCTGCTGGATCACCTTTCTTTGGAATGGGTACAAATATGGATCTCTTCCAGTCAGTTGGCCAGGTAGCTGTCTTCCAAATTTCTTAGCATAAATAAATGAGTGCCTCCAGTGCTGCATCAGTTTGTTGAAACATCTCCATCAGTTCCTGGACCCTTGTCTTTTTTGCCAATTCCTTCAGTGCAGCTTGGACTTCGTCCTTCAGCCTCATTGGTTCTTGATCATATGCTGCCTCCTGAAATGGCTGAACACTGACTGATTCTCTTTAGTACAGTGACTCTGTATATTCCTTCCATCTTCTTTTGATGTTTCCTTCATCATTCAATATTTTGCCCATAGAATTTTTCAATATTGCAATTTGAGGCTTATTTTATTTTCAGTTCTTTCAGCTTAAGAAATGCTGAGCATATTTTTCCCTTTTGGTTTTCTATCTCCAGGTCTTTGCACATTTCATTATAATACTTTATATTGTCCTCTTGAGCTGCCCTTTGAAATCTGCTCAGCATTTATTTCATCATTTCTTCCATCATGACTGAGTAGGACTATGCAAATGTGAGGTGCTTGTGGCCCACCAAGGGGATCGAATAACTTGCTAATAATGTAAATAAGGGGCATGACATACCTTTTGCATGTGGGACCATGCAAATCAGGTGTATGAAATCCTAACATAGAGATTGATCAGTTTTGTCATCCGTCTAGTCTTAAAATGAGGCATCCCAGAGGTGGAAAGGGTCTCACTACTATCAATAAAGAAGAGTCAGGAGTGGAGCATGTCCTTTGGACTCAAGATCCCTGTGCTGAATCTTCTCAATCCAGGAGACAGAGAGCTGTGAACTAGAGATGGCAAGAGATGACGAGAAGCAGAAGCAGAGAAATAGTGGCAAGACAGGCAGCAGAACTAAAGAACCAGCATGAGACAGAGTGGTGGGCTTCCCAGCCCATGGAGTGGGAAATCTGAGTGCTTTCTGGCAGAAGCCTTGCTGACAAAGAGGGGACATCTGGGAACTTATATTTGCCAAGCTAAACGAGCTTTGTAACACTGGCCTGAGAATGGCCATGGCACCAAGAAGCCAATTGGCATGAGAGAGGCATGTCAATAGGCAATATTGAGAGGAGGCTGTCCTAATGGATGAAATGTATCCTTAGTCATTTCTGATCCTGAATTGTAACCTGTTACTTCCTGTCTTAGGATCAGTTCTCTAGAGAACCAAAAGCGGTGAAGCTTATATGCACATCAAACCAAACTCTGCCATCAAGTCAATTCTGACTCATAACAACCCTCTTTGGGTATCCAAGGGGGTAAATCTTTATAGAAGTAGATTATCCCATCTTCCTGACTGGTTAGCAGCCTTAGGCACTGTGCCACCAGAGCTTATATGTGTGTGTGTGTGTGTGTGTGTGTATAAAGAGAGAGAGAGAGAGAGAAATTTATCTCAAGGAAATGCCTCACTCAAGTCCATGGGTCAAATGTCAAGCTGGAGTCTCACACAGCTGCAGAGGTTTGACGAACCCAAGAACAGCAGGCAGTATAGCAGGTTGCTGGTTTCAGAGGTTGATGAATACAAGATCAGCAAGTAAAATGGCAGATTGTTGGCTCACAGACTGCAAGGGCAACAATCCTAAGATTAGCAGGCAGTATGTCAGTCTACCCATTCAAGTCCAGGATCCAGAGATGATGATGAACTAAATGCACAATCAAGATGCAGCAGAAAGCCAAGAATTTTCCCAGGCTGTCCATGTGTATATTGGAAGCAGGCCAAACCCCTGAGAAAACTCCATTTCAATTAATTGGCTGCCCATAACACATCTCATCATGGAGGTTATTACATTATATCCAGCCTCATCATGGGGAATGACTACATCATAACTGCTAAACCACTTAGAATCTTGGTCCAGCCAAGTTGACACACAACTTTATCATATCTCCTTAATAAACTCCACAATCCTAAGTATTGTCTGCAAGTTCTGTGTGATCATTACAATGACTTATGGAACACAGTAGAGAAGTAGAGAGTGTTGTGGGAAGGACAGTTCCTGTCAGAATTGGTAAAAAGGTTGGAGGGTAGAGGCATGTCTGACCTCCACCTCATAGAAATCAGCCTTGGGTTGTTGATCTTTATCCTCCTCCCTTTGGTGAAATTAGAGATAGAGGCCAGCCCCACACTGTCCTTTGACCTGGTACACCACCTGCTT